CACTCCCAGGACACAGTGTCTCATCAGTCATTGCTGCATCTTCAATAAAGGTAAGTGTCATTTATTCTTCATTTAGTAGACTAGTACATGCACAATATATACTGTGCATGTACTACTCTACTATTGTGCATGTATCCTTCTCTTTGTGTGTAGGAAAATGTATATTTCACGTGGTAAAAATTTTTTTTTCATACTTTTGGGTGTCTTGCACGGATTAATTTGATTTCCATTATTTCTTATGGGGAAAATTCATTCGCATACCAATGACCCCTCTTGCACGGATTAAAAATCGGTATGCGGGGGTCCACTGTACACTCTCGAAGTTATTCTATTTTGTTCCAACCTCTCTGCAAGTCCAAACCAAATTCTGGCTTATTTTTTATAGGATACTTTTACTAGTATTTTAAGGACACCAAAGAAACCAGAAGGCCTTAAAAATAAAAAAAAATAAAAGGTATAATGAAATGCTGCACTGCAAACTAAGTGTACTCAATAATGTAATATTTTATAAATAAATTTCATGTTCTGGAAATTTACCATTTAAAATTAAAGGAATATGAAGAAGTCGGAAAGTAATAATAAAAGGCTAGCAGCTTTGAAGCTTATGAAATAACTTCAAAAATTAAGTTTTGTATGTTACCTTATGAATGGCCTTGTATTAAAAGATGTCAGTAGGCTTACTGCATCATGAGGGTGAGTGACAGACTTTCATCTTCAAAATAAAATGTTAAGGTAAGGTTGAAAATTTATTTTTTTTACCTCCACCAAGTCCGAGTTTGGTCTTCAGTGGTACTCTGGTTGGAGTCAAGAGGTCGAATAACTTCTTATTGTAAATTTCTATGAACGAGACTGTGACACACTGTGAGCTCCTTAACTCTGGGTCTTGGAGGGCGGGGAAGTCTCACTCACATCAAGAAGGGTATGCAATGCTCTTTGTAAAATTCCTTCATCTTCCTGAAATCATATTATTATTATAATAAAAAAGAAGCGCTAAACCCACAAGGGCTATACAGCCCTGAAATTATAATGTGCAACAATAAAGGTCAGAAAAAAATTAAGACAAAAGTAAATGGCTCTGAAAGACCATTAAAAAAATCAGTGGGTTAGCAAGCTGTATAATTTACAAAACACCAAGATCATTTGCCTATTAAGTACAGTTAATGTAAAAAAATGCCCTATGCATTATTTGGCTGCCTTCAATACTAATTTTCAGCAATCTAAACCATTTGTTAAACTGTATTATGACTAATATACAGTATCATTATTTCAAATAAAATCACAATGCAGTATAAGAATAATTTTACTAAATTATGTTTTCAACAAAAAATAGAATCTCTTACTGTCGAGGACAAAAAAAAAAAATGGTTGTTGGATTCTTAGGTAGCCCTGCCCTTAAATCTCCACCACCACAGAAAAGTGACTCAGCTTCAGGAGAAAAATGTTAATTTGGGTACCAAAAGAAAAAACTCATTAAAATACTCAATACTTTGGACATTAAAATACTCTAAGTGCCCTAAAGTGCACTTGGAGTATTTTAATGTCCAAAGTAATACTCTACTCTGGTAGGTTTGTTGATGAGGCAAAAAGTTAAGCTGGCCTTGAAATTCAAGGTGTGAACTCTCAGAATGCCCTAAGGCTACTAGCTGCATCCTAAGTGCCTTCTAGACACTTAGGATGCATACCCCGTTCTGTGTGGCCTTGAGGGTTACCGAGTTTGACAGACATTTTTGGCTAGTGACAAAGGCAGAAGTAAACTGTTGACAAGAGAACTGCTAAGATCATCGGATTACGTAAGGCCAGGATATTCCCCAGATTTTAACCCCAGTAAAAACCTATAGGCTGTGATACAGATTTGCTAGGGGAAGAACATCAGCCCATTCCACAGCTTTAGGGCATTATCCAAAAGTAATGGGGAAAGTTATGCCATAAAACCCTGGAGAATGCATGTTAATCACTTCCTCGATAGTTGGAGGATGTCCTAAATTTAGCAAAAGGAACAACCTATTTTGTAGTTATGATTCTAGAGGGGGCTGGCATACTTTATGACTATTTTGTTGAATGGGATAAACACAAAATGTAATGAATACAACAAAATGGATATAAATGCTCTGGAAAACATACAAAGGAGATGACAAAGTTGATCCCAAGTATCAAAATCTTCCCTATGAGGATAGACAGAGGGCCCTGAATCTGCACTCTCTAGAAAGGCATAGAATTAGGGGGATATGATTGAGGTGTATAAATGGAAGACAGGAATAAATAAATTATTATTATTATAATCCAAAAAGAAGCACTAACCCACAAGGGCTATACAGCAGGGAATAAAAAAGGGGGATGTAAATAACGTGCTGAAAATATCTAGCCTAAACAGGACTCGCAGCAATGGCTTTAAGTTGAAAAATTCAGATTCAGGAAGGATATAGGAAAGCACTGGTTTGGTAATAGAGTTGTGGACGAGTGGAACAAACTCCCGAGTACAGTTATAGAGGCTAAAACGTCGTGTAGTTTTAAAAATAGGTTAGATAAATACACGAGTGGGTGTGAGTTTGGACCTGATTAGCTTGTGCTACTAGGTCAGTTGCCGTGTTCCTTCCTTAAGTGAATGTGACCTGACCTTACTAGGCTGGGGCATTGGCTTAAGCCGGTAGGAGACTTGGATCTGCCTCGCATGGGCCAGTAGGCCTGCTGCAGTGTTCCTTCTTTCTTATGTTCTTAAATCCTTCAATTTCTCAAAGCATTTCTTCTGCTGGTTAAGCGATAATTTCTAGTAAATCAGCACAGCCCAATTTTTTTTTTATTATTATTATTATTATTAAAGCTCTGACTGTCACAGTACATCATTCCCATTGTTGCCATAAAACTGTTTATTACATATATTATGGCTGATTACACATATCAAGGTAAAAGACTATTTACACTTCACCCATTTACAAAAGTGGAAAAAATTAGGTAGATTCAAACAACAAAGCCAATAAGTGGCAAAAAAGACAACTGCAGAAACTTTATTGAAACATGGATTGACTAACAAACATGTTTCACAGAAAAAATTAACCAAAAGTAAGTTTTGCATGTAGAAATGGTGGTCTGAATATGGGTGCTAGGAGATAAGTGAAAATTACTAATACAGGACTAAATTTTTTTTTATCAGTCAGTCTGTGCTGATGACTAATAAATTTCACATACAATAGCTTGATATATAGGAACATTTCTGGACCCTGAAAAAGCTGTACATGTTTGCTAATGGAAGTCAGAGCTCAGCTTATGCCCAGAAATCCTGAGCGCAGCCCATTTACAAGCAATTGGCACCATGCCCCTCTATACATTACTGCCTGCCCATGTTGAGCCCATGACATGCTGTAGAACCTGACATTTTATGTGCTTCAAAACACCCAGCAGCTAGGTTAGGTCCTGGCACTCTCCCTCACCTTCAAAAAATTCCTCTCACAGATCTATTCTTAACCTATCCTATCTTTCACATTTATCACTAAAGTTTTTCCAGTACATGATGTGTACTTCAGGTACACTAATCATTACATGAGAATAGGTAAATATTTGTAAAAAGTGGGCACCAACCCTTGGTTTAAATGCAAGGATGTACAACCTCTTTAGTCATTAACCCTTTGAGGGTCCGTCCTGTAGATCTACGGCTTTACGTTCAGGGTCCAAACCGTAGATCTACGTCATGAGCTCAGCTCACTCTGATAAACTGTGAGTGGTACATTTGGGCCTAGATATGAGAGAATACATCTATGTGGTATGTGTGCACCACATAAAACAGATCCTGCAGCACGCTGTATATAATGAGAGAAAAAACTGAAATCATGATTTTTTCGATTAAAACAGCGACTTTGCAGTGTTTTTTGTATGTTTTTTTATAGTTGTATTTGCGATTTCTTAGTCTCATTTGATAGAATGGAAGACATATTACAGAAATAAAGATGATTTTGATTGGTTTTAGCACTGGAAATGGCTTGAAACTGAGCTCAAAGTAGCAGAAATGTTAAATTTTCGCCGATATTCAAGAGTAAACAAACGACCTCACACGTCTAATACACCCCAGCTGGTGGGTCTAAATATGCATTCACAAATATGGTGATAATATTTATACAATTATTACAGTATTGCATAACAGTAAATCTTCTATTTTTTGGTGTGAATAAAAATTCATTGTGAATAAAAAATCAAAATGGAATTTAATTTGTAAAGCCTCAAAACGTAACTAATGAACAGAGGAAATGTTAGTTTAGTTCCAGGAATACCTACATTGTTTATTCTGGACCCTATTTTGAAATTGGAATATTTTGAACTTTGTGTAAAATTGCCAAATTAACAATTTCTGATCACTTTAATTTGTAGTTGAAACAGTTGACTTGGTGATTTCTTGTGCTCAATCGATAGAATAGAAGTAATACTAGTGAAATAGCTAAGAATTTGGTTGACTGGAATAATGTAATTGGCCTAAAATGGGAGTCAAAGTCGGCAAAATTACCGATTCGTAAATATCGCTGACACATCAAAATTCGCGAGCATAATTTCGTCAATTTTCCATCAAATTTCGTACTTTTTGTTTTATTACCTTCACAAAAAGATTCTCTACCATTTCACAAGAAAAAATAACAATTTTTTTTTTTGAAAATTCTTGGACACTGGTGCACCACTTCAGATTTGGGCCTTGGACCCTGAAGGGGTTAAACATTACCCAAAAAATAAGCTATGCAGTACAGTATACAGCTTATGGGTACTTTCAAGTCAATGGAAGGTATTCAGTGTCAGTGGTACAGTAAAATCTTGATTTAATGGACCCTATTTAAGAAATTCTGAATTGAACAGGCAAAATACAGAAACAATGGATGAAGTCTGCTAAAATCAAGATTGTCTATTATTGTTAGTCAGTTGGGTAAACTGAATTTGAATTTAACAGTCCATTAAACCAGAATTGTCTGTTATTGTTGCAGTCCACTGTGTAAAATGAATTTTCAGATTTAACGACAAAGTCAGTTAAATTCATAATGTCCCTTATTGCTACAATTGCGGAAAATCAGTTTCATTATTGTATTCCTGTTAACAGACAATCAGTTTTGATGGACACTCAGTCTCTCCTATTAGTTTATTAAATCATGGGTCCACTGTAGTTTGATTTTAATTTAAACAGGACACGGAGGACTGCAGGTTGTGCCTTGCTGAGGATATCTTATGCAAACTGTATTACACAAGGTAAACATTTTTGTGACCCACAATGGGTCACAAATGTGACATGGTAAACAGGACAACAAATTACAAATAAAATTAACCTTTGCACTACATGGGTTTGTACCCATTGTGAAGGTCTTTCCTGATCCTGTTTGACCATATGCAAAAATAGTAGCATTGTGACCCTCCTTTACTTTGGTTACAAGAGGTGCCACTGCCTTCCTAAAAACTATTTCTTGTGTACAGCTTTCTTCAAAGACCTCTTCAAACTTGTACGGTCTATCATGTGCATCATCGACGACAACCTGAAAAATGAATTTTTATAAATATATCACATGTGGATCACTATATAGAGATATGCAATTATGTACTAGGATATTTATTTTAATCAAAACTACAGAGATACAAAGAAATTTTTAAAGAAAATGTGACAATTCACAAGTATTTTATGAAATGTGAATAAGCATACAGTCATCAACAGTCAAATTATTTGATTTTATGACCCTTTGTTGCTACTGGATACTGCAGTACTGTAGTCTCTCCTTGGTGAGATTTCAGTCATTGCCAGGCAAAGTGAGAGAGATTTAGTGGCACTATGATACTGTGCCAAAGCTGTGGTTTAGGGTTTAAGGATTAAGAGTTGGCATATCCTGCATGGCATAATAGATCAATTATGATTAATCCAACATGCTGTTATTGAAGCTGTTCTTATTTAAGAATTGGCGATTGATTTTACCATACACAAGCTGGTTTCTCATTAGTGTGTCAAATGATTGTTGGAAATTGTCCTAAAGTTAATATATGTACTTTATGCTACTTATATTACGAATGCTGCAATGATAAATGATACTGAACAAAATAAAATAAAAAATTATGGAGGCGAGCCCGAGTCTGTACGGAAGGGATACAAATTATAGATTTTAAACACTTTTGCAGATGGAAATAGATTTTGCAAGTGGATATACTTTGACAGTACTTTTATTTAAAAGTGAATAACTCAAGAGCCAATATGAATCAAAATGAAGTACCATGCCAAGTAAGGACACTACTTTCACTAAACAAAAGTTTAGATTATATACTGTACAACACTGTACAGGTACACTGGTACAGTAGCATTACAAGTTTTGACTTTTATGGTTACAGTGCCCCATGGCCTTGTGGCTAAAGCTCTCACTTCACACGGCGAGGGTCCGGGCTAGATTCCCGGCGAAGGGGTGGAAACATCAGATGTGTTTCCTTACACTGGTTGTCCATGTTCACTCACCCATCAGTAAAATGGGTACCTGGATGTTAGTCGACTGGAGTGGGTCGCATCCTGGGACAAAACTGACCTAAGTTGCCCGAAATGCTCTGCATAACAAGGGGCTTTCTACATATATAGAAATATGTCAATGATGTCAGCTAGGCCTGTATACCTTGTACATGTACTTGTAGTAAATAAAGATATTATTATTATTATTTATACATCCCACAGAGTACTATACCACATGAATAAAGCTTAGGATAAATCAAAACATGTACAGTGATTTTAAAGTGAATATTACATATAATGCAAATTTTTATTATTATTATTATTTTTATTGCAACCTCATTTGCAATTCTTGGTACCTCTTTATTTGCAGCACAAACAGCTAAGATGCTCCGCGCACCCTGCTCCTCTTCCTGCTGTAGGAGAGGCCGTGTACGCACATAAACTTTGACATGCCCACCACAGGCATGTGGGGCTATGGGTGTCACAAACATATGCCTGCAAAAAAAAAAAAACATTAATTTTTTTCATAAAGCTGAAGAGCTATACTATATTAAAGGCCTATACAATACATGCTACTTTTCATTAATTCGCTATCTTTGTTAAATATTTAAAAAATTCATGATTATCCTTCAGAGAAAGTATATGTATCTAGTATTGTGTTAGTCCTATCATATTAATTGTCAACTTATCTGTAAGAATTGTAATATTTAAACTGTCAGAGTTGCACTGAGTAGTAGCAGTCTTGCAATATATTATGGGGGAGCGCTAAACCCATAGGAATTATACAGCATCTGCGGATGGATGGAAGGCATTTGGGTTAAATTCAGGGAACTGAAGCACATATCCAATTCCCAAGATCAAGAGCCTTTCACCAGCGTAAATTATTATAGCCAAAAAGAAGCACTAAACCTTCAATTATTATTATTATAATCAGGGGGGAAGCGCTAAACCCAGAGGATTATACAGCGCCTGGGGGGGATGTGGAAGGCATTCAGGCTTAATTCGGGGAATTGGAGCACAGATCCAATTCCCTAAATCAAGAGCCCCTCACCAACATCAAGGAACCTTCCTTGAGGGAAGTCTTACAATATAACCTTGAATTTCTTGTTAATTATCCAACAAATCAAATTATAATCGTTATGAAAACGTTTATCCTCAAAACTTTCATTTTTAAAGTATTAAGGATAAAACCCTGATTATATTATTCATGGAGAAGAGTTAAATCCGCAAAGGTCAAAATAACAATACGTACATATATTTAAGCAGTAAACTCGTAAGGGTCATAAAAGCGACAGCCTGGGAATGCGATAATCTGGTTTAATCTAAGGAAAGGAGTATTATAAACCCATAAGGGTTATACAGCACTGCAGTCTGGGGAATGTGACTAATCTGGTCTGATCCAAGGAAAGAATTATTATAAACTCATAAGTGTTATGCGGTGCTGCAGTCTGGGGAATGAGACAATCTGGTTTAATCCTAGGAATGGCATATTATAAACTCGTAAGGGTCATAGTGATGCAGTATGATGGATAGTGTCGTAGCATAGAGCCAGATGCAAGTGTCAGAGGAATAGAACGTTGGTAGAGCCTCACCTGCACTTGTCACAGCTCTAAATAAAGATAATCCAGAGTTCACACATCAGTTACTGTTTGAATAGTTACCAAACAGGCATACCAACAGGCACCAACAACACAGCATCTCATATCTCCACCATGTTCAATCAGTAGCTTTATTTTCATATTTCCATCCATTTAAAATTAAAAACTAATAAAAGAAATAATTTTACATTCGGTGGGAGAGAGCATAAATGACCTTATGATATATATTTATGAGAGTAGATTACCACCCTGACATAGCTAGTCCACGCATCTGATGTATATTTCATCTATCTCAATAAGTCTTATTCCAACGTTTAGTAGTTACGTAATTATTTAGGCTAGTGATATATAGACGGTAAATAATATAATAAAATTGGCTTCATTCGCAGTATGTTTTATGCATTGAGAAAAAACAACCATAAACTGTAATAATCTTTATTATCTAATTAAACTTCACTAAACAAAATAAAAACAAAATGTAGTTTACATTTGACAAAATTTTTATCAGCACATAAAAAGTCACTAACATGCCGTCCGTTACGGGCAGACTAATAATGCTTACAGACTATTAAAACTAAATATAGGTTATTCAGTGGGAGGCTTTTTTTAATGTACAAAAAGTGAGGCAGTTAAGTAAACAATAGCACAATTTTAGTATTATTGCTAAAACGGTTGGATTAGATTTTTAGATTTTGCCACCGAAGTGGCTAGTTTATTGTGCACCCCATATCCATCCTGTGGACGGTAGCGCGAGAGCATATGGATACACAAAAGGCCTAGGAACTAGGCCCCAAAGGGTTAACCTGGAGTTTACCTGGAGAGAGTTCCGGGGGTCAACGCCCCCGCGGCCCGGTCTGAGACCAGGCCTCCTGGTGGATCAGAGCCTGATCAACCAGGCTGTTGCTGCTGGCTGCACGCAAACCAACGTACGAGCCACAGCCCGGCTGATCCGGAATACATATGGATTTATATCTACATATCTATAGTTCACTTATCTGTTACAAGCAAATTTAGGAAATTTGCTTAGTATATCTGGTATCTTATTTTCATTAATAAGATATCTTGACATGTCACATAGGTTATTATACTGTCTGTCTCTGTATTCCTCAATAAGTGGACAATTAAGCACATAGTGTTCAAGAGAATGACCATATGCCTGATCACATAATTTACATTTAGTTTGATCATCATCTGTGTGTCTCCCAAACTGCCAGAAGTACTTATAACCAAGCCTAAGCCTGGCCACTACAACATCAGTCAGTCTGTTCACACTGCAAGTTGCTCCATAAACATACTTATCTACGTTCTGTTATCATAGTGGGTTATAGATCTACTCAGGCTTCTAACTGCTTCCCATAAAAACATTTTTTTATTTATTTTTTCCCAAATT